TTTGAATGAAGGGGAAGGAAAGAAGGCTGAGTGCCAAGGACAGCCAGAAGAACAAGCCCGTGTGTCTTGGAGGAAGAACAACCAGCGTGCCCCTTAGAAGCTCCATGGCCAGACTTTGAAACGCAAGACCAGCAGTTTCTATGGGGCCTTTCAAGGATTAAGAGGCAGTTGAGGAAAAGGAGCAAGCAAATACTGGAAGCTTTAAAAATCAGGAAAGATATGCATCGGGATTGTTTGTAACCTTTCACCATATCTGTTCACTGTACGCTGAGCAAATCATTGGAGAAGCCAGCTTATATGGAGAAGAATGCGGAGCTGCCCTTCGACTTTCTGAGGCTGGAGCTCGTTCCAGATGTAGAAAGTCTCATCTTTCTCCCACAGGGCAGCTGGGGATTTGAGACTGCCGACTACAGAAGCATTGGTACATTTGAATCCTGGTGCTTGAACAGAATCTTCTGAACCATGAACTGCTAAAAGGACAAACGAATCTGTATTGGAAGAAGTATGCCCAGAGTGCTCCTTAGAGCAGGGATGGCAAGACTTCATCTAACAGACTTTGGACATGTTGTCCGGAGAGACCAGTCCTTGGAAAAGGTCATCCTGTTTGGAAAAGCAGAGGGACAGTGAAAAGAGGAAAGCTTTCAAGGAGATGGATTGATACTGGCTGCAACAATGGGTTAAGCGTAGGAACAATTGTGAGGTGCAAGAATGAGCAGTGGTTCCTTCTGTTGGGCAGAGGGTTGCTATGGGTCGGAACCCACTCAGGGGGGATCAACTCAGTGGCTCCCTAAGAGCAAACAACAATAATGAACATAGGATTTTAAAAATGAGCAAAGCTGATGGAAAAATAAATGATTACATAAGCATATACAGTTTTAAAAGAAGATTAGTGAAAGGGGAGTTACCCGACCATTGATGAAAACATAATAGAAGGTCATGATAGAGGGTTTGAACTTAAATGAACAGATATATAGAGGTACACGGAGAACCCAAAAGTAGATGTAAATGAACATGGTAGATTGATATATGATAAAATTGCATATCAAGCCGATTAGGAAAGATGAAATATTAAATAAATTATGTTCAAACATCTAACCTGACATATTTTTTTCTAACCTGACATCTTGATAAATATTGAAGCTGATAGCTTATTTACGCCAATTGCATTCCTTTCTCAAAGTAAATGCTACATTTAGCATAAATGAAACTTTTAAAAATAAAATTATACAAATACTAGAAGAAAAACTACAAACTTACCATTTCAGTGTGAAGAAAGTATTTTTAAATAAATCAAACACTCAAGAGCCATGAGCACACCCAAATCCAAACCCAATGCCATAGGGTTTGTCTAGGGCAGAGCTCCTGAGAATATTGAGACTCAGCCTTTACAGAGGCATGCAGCCTTGTCTTTCTCCATGGAGTTGTGGGTGGGTTTGAACCATCAGCCTTGTATTTAACAGTCCATCCCTTATCCCACAGCACCACTAGGACTCCTTAGACTAATACACTTGACAACCTAAAAATCAAAAATATTTTCACGTGTTTTTAAAGATCATTAAAATGCCAAAAGAGCACAAAAACTAGGGGGGAAATATTTGCACTGTATGTAGCAGATCAGGGGTCAAATTCTGTGATACATAAAGAGCTCCCATAAATCCTTAAGAAGAATTTCAATATACCAATTGAAATTTTTATATTTATAAACAGTGGGTAACAGAAAAAGAATTCAAATTACTTTATAACATAAGAAAAACACGTCCTTCTAGTTGTAGTAATGCAAACAAAAACTAAGACAGTACGCACCTTTCTTTAACCTGCCTCACTGGCAAAGAAAAACACAACTAACAAAGAAAGAAGAAAATAAACTGTAATGTGCCCGATTGTGAGAGGTGGGAGCACTGGTGGCATAGTAGATTACGCTTTGGGTTGCTAATGGCAAGGTCAGCAGTTTGAACCCACCAGCTGCTCTGCAGGAGAAAGATGAGGCTTTCTGCTCCCTTAAGGCGTGACAGTCTCTGAAACTCGCAGGAGCAGTTCTGCTCAATCCGATAGGTTCTGATGACCCAGAACCGACAGAGTGGCAGTGAGCTTGGTTTTTTATCATACTGGTGAGAGGGCATGGAAACGTGTTTCTTAGACCTAATGGAAGCAGACACTGGAGCAAACAAATTGGTCTGAGAATCTCCATCTCTGCTCCATGGCTCTCTCCAGCTTGGATATTTCAGCGACTTAGAAGAGAACTTGGAAATATTTACCTATATCAAAGGCACATTATGTCTGATCTAATCATTCCACTTTGGGAACTCGACATTATACATGCATTTATGGGAGAATGTCACATATGCGAAGATATTATGCTCACATTATGAGAGTAAAGGATAAAAGCAAATGTCTATCAATGGGTTTGTGAGTAAATTATGGCTTAAGCTGGAATATTCTGGACTAGTAAGAAGGGTGGGAGCGACCTGCTATTGCTATTTGCTATCAAGTTGGTTCTGACTCATGTTGACCCTTTATGCACTCACAGAGTAGGCCTACTCTTTAGGGTTTTCGAGGTTGTGGTATTTTGGAAGATAATCATGATCTCCAGGCCTGTCCTCTGAAGTGCTCCTGGCTGGTTTTGAACCACCAATCCTCCAGAAAGTAGTTTAGTTCTTAACCCTCATGGGCTATACTTATAAATGTCATGAGTTTCCGTTGCAAAAAATAATACATTGCCTATATGTGTGAGTACACATATACTTAGGCACACAGATACGTACATATACACACAGATAGTTTTGTTCTTATATATTTATCTAGTATTGGGGGGGTGGGCAGGGGGAACTACACAGTAAACTGCTGACTATCACCTGTGGGGAGAATCCTAAAGAAATGAGAAGGTCTGTGTTGGCAAACACTTATTAAAAATAAACATTCTTTGGTATCATTTAAATATATTTTGCAGGGTGCATGATTACTGACCCATTAGTTCAAAAGGTACATGACATAACCCAATTGATTACTTCTTGCATCCATAAAAATAGTAAACAAAAAATATAGGTCTATGAGACAGTAATTTTTTTTAAATGCTAAAAACAAGAATGTTAAGAGAGTAAATAAAAATTAAGTCCTTGAGGCTTTTAGGTGAGAAAAACAAATCACTTTATCAAAACAAGGCACCCCGGAGGTATTGCGCTTCCGAGTCAGGCTGCTAACTGTAAGGTCAATAGTTAAAACAACCAGCAGCTCTGCAGGGGAAAAAAAGGTGGGGGCGGGGTGTGTGTGTGTTGTTCTTTTCCTGTAAAGAGTTTCCGTCTTGGAAGCTCACCGGGGCACATTTACCCTGTTCTATAGGATTGCATTGAGTCAGAATCAACTCATGGCAGTGAGTTATCAAGATATAATGTTCCTGTCGTTTAAAGAGATTTGTGAGTTTTGACTGTGGGGTAGGGCCTAGGTGCGGTGATTTAAGAACAAAGATTAGGGTACCCGACCTCCAAGAGCTCAATCAGAAGAGCTTAAGCCCAGAGCAGCGGTGGAAGACTGCTGTCACTCACGCTGCACCCTGCCTTCATTGTGTTAGAAAGTCAGTCATTCCAAGACGATAACATGAAATACGTACTCCATTCAGTGACCCTCCACTACAGAAATGAGAGATATCTTTTGAACTAGTTAAGGTTTATTGTGCCAGTCTGGTCGATAAACGTGGGGTTAATTGAAGGGCAGAGAGATAAATGACTCAGTGAGTCTCTCCTTCCTAGTTCTCGGGTCTCTTGCTTTCTGATGGTCAGAGCAGGGTGCAGCTGCCTTGGGCAGTTCCCTGATTCAGCTGGCAAGACTCACTTCCTGCAAGATTTCCCTGAGGAGAAGTCACTCAGACCTACCCTGATGCAGCCCTGGGTGCTGGAGCAGCCACATGGAGACCCCTGCCAGTGCTGAGATGCTTACATGTTCACTGACTGGGCTTTCCTCCTGCAGTCGGCATCATTGCGTCTGTTTTGCAAGATGGAGGAGGACTTTGTAGATTGGTGTTGGACAAATGGGCTAATGTTGGACTTATGGGCTTAAACAGCACTGGGTTGGGATGCTTTCTTAATGTACACTTACCATTTATATAAAACTCTCTCTTATATACTTATGATTTTCTGTGGATTTGTTTCTCTAAGGTACCCAGACTAGCACATCCTTGTAACTCTAAATATCTCCGAAACAGTTGACCCTCATTACATTTCCCAGAAGACCTCAAAGAGAAGAACGAATTAACCAGGAGAAGCCTTGGTTTGTACTATCAACTCATTCATTTGCTAACCCAAACGTTGGAGGTTTGAGTCTACTGGGAAGAAAGTCCAGTGATTTACTTCGGGAAGACCTACTCTGGGCACACATGGGGTCTCCATGAGTTGGGATTGCCTAGAGAGCAAGCGCTTAGCTTTACAGGGAAAGGGCAATTCCCTACCGCCCGAGCCTTTCTCGTCTCCACTCCCCTGTGTTGCTATTCTCCTGCCCATCGGGTTCTGATTCTCTATTTTTGGCAATTCCTACTGTGGTCATTTTTCACCTTCTGATTGATTCCAATGCATAGCAAGCCTAGAGAATGGAAGAGAATAAACTGCTCCCATAGGATTCTCACATTGCAATCCAAAGGAAGAGACGGCATGCTCTTTTCTCTCTGAGCCACTGGGCAACCACTAACCTCCCAGTTCGCAGCCGCACACTTAACCACTACATCCCCATGGACCCTTGGCTTGCTCCTACTGAACAAATACTAAATAGTTCCCACTAGGCAAGCTTTCCAAATCCCTGCCATGCCAGATGGCCTTCACTTTGTTGCCTTCTATTATTATTGTACAAATGTACAGCCCTGCTGCTCCACAGAGCAAGGATCCAGCAACAGAGGAATTACACCATGGGACTTCACTGCTCCCCCAGCTAACAGAACTGAGCTGAGCTTCATGGTTGTTTCCCCAGATGCCCCCTGTCACCATCTATCTCCCCCAAGTCTAAAACACAAGACTCACTTGTCCAGGGACATCCCTGGGAAGATAAACTTGCCCACACAGATGCGACAGATAGCACTCAGTGGGATGCGCTGCATCTGCACACAGCTAAGCATGATGAAGTCATATTTGCAGATGTAGAGAGTCGTGTCTGTGACCAGCACAATCCGCTCCTTCTCGTTGTTCCAGTGGTCTATCCTGCAGGGATAATCACAGAGAAGAGAAATTGATGCATAGCCTCCCAATGGTAAAGAAAATGGCATTCCCCCAAATGTCTCTCCTAACCCCAAAAGGAAAGGAGCCTGGTGGTGTTCTGTGTTGGGCCTCACTGGGTTGCTAATTGCAAGTCTGGCAGTTCACACCTAACTGTGTGGGAGAAAACTAAGACGGGCTGCTCCTGGACAGACTTAGAGCCTCCAAAACCTAAGAGAGAGTCACTCTAAGTTGGCATCAACTCGCTGGCAGTGGAACGGAACACCAAACGGAGTGAAGTCTGATTGCCGCGGAGACAGGGAGGACTGGGAATATCTACTGCGGCCAATCAGCCTAGGCCTGTGGCTCAGGAAGGAGCAAGAACAGAACATCACAAGGAAAGGCTTTATGGCCACAGGGTGATAGATGGTCATTCTTGGCTGGCAATCCTTTAGGGGAGCACCAAATATTTATCCTGTTGGCAGTCACATGATCCCTGTCCTTCCAATTCCAATTCTTGAGGAAAACGTAATGGAGCACCATCTTTGTCCAAGGACACTCTTTACTAACTCCTCTGTACTTAGCCCATACCACTTTGTAAATGTTTCAAGAGACAATGGCCTCATCTTTCTCCTGAAGCTAGCCTCACCACCTTGACTCATTACATTTAGTTTCTGCTAATCTCCACAGGTCACATTGCTGACAGGAAGTAAAACAAGGGTTTGGACATAGATCACCTTCTCCCAAGACACCATTATTCTGTTTTATTTAAGTTTGTTTTTTTAAGTAGTTTTATTGGCATACATTTCACATATTATATAATTTAATCATTCTATCATATTACAAAGATCTTTTCTGCTTTCATTTCAGTGGAGGTTTTTCTATGTTGTATGTACTCATTATTGTTGGCTTTGTTTATTTGTTTGTTTGTGTTTTGTATGACGCCATTATTCTAAGCTCATCACACAGTCTTTACGTGATAGAAAGATAATTGGACTGGTTGAGGGAGGATATACATGAACGAAGCGCAAAGCAAAGACTGCGTAAGAGCTCGCTGAACTGAATTGTTTCAAACATCAGCGTCTTTTAGGACATGCACAGAAAATTCAGTCTGAGAGTTAAGAACTTCCCCAACAAAACATAAGAGGATCAAACAATGTCTTCCGGTTCAAAGGAGCTTTAGATGGTTCTTCACTTCTTCTCACCCACAGCATTCTGTCTGTCTGTCTGTCATAGCCTGTAAGACACAGCTCTTCCCAACTTGTATTAGAAGGTTTTTAGGATAGGATATGGCTTGTCTTCCCTAACAAGTGGAAAGGATCATTTGTGTCTTAATAGATAATTCGTGTCTGAATAATCAGCGGCTCTTGTAAGAAATGGTACGAATTTCACACCTGCTTGAAAAGGCTCTGCAGCGTGAGGGCCAGCTGACTTCTTTGAGCTCACCACAGGCAGTCTTCCTGCAGCACACTCTCCTGGAACTTCTGTCACTGACTTGAATTCAACACTCACCCTCCTGTTACAGGGACTTTGGCGTGCCTCTTAGCCACATCCTTTCAAATGTTCACCAAGTCAATGTCCAGTCAATGCTCGATCACTCCTTACTCCAGAAACCCTTCCTAGACCTGTCTGGCACCTTCTTTTCTTTCTAATACGCACCTCCATTGTTCATAACACTCGTTCAGTTTTACCGCTAATTGTGTAACTATCGTCTACACTTCTCCGGTATTGTAAACTCCATGAAGACTGAGCCAGTTCCTACACAGCTTATGACTCTGAGGTTGAAGGTGTTCAAAAAAAAACTTTTTTGAAAAAATTAGTAAAGACTGAGCAATCCGTCAACTTTGGAATCTGTATGCCTTGGTTTCTGTTGCTCAGGTAATCCTGCCCTCCATTTTATAAAATAAAGTGAGGCTCAGCACACGGAGTTCTTCCAAACACTAATCAGTAACTTCAGGGAAAAAAAGCATATCATGACAGTCAGTGAGAAAATGCAGAAGGCAAACCGTTTTCTTCCATGGCTTCCTATTTGCAGCTGCAACAAAAACACATAGGTCAAATATTCATCTGGATCATTCTGGGTGGTAGGATATCAACTTTTACTTCATTGTATGTTTTTAATTGCAAGAATATTTTTAAAATATTTAATATATCTGTTCTACTTTTGTGGTGTATATGTATGTCATAAATTTGTAGAAATATAAATACACACAGATATAGATATAGATTTTTTTAACCAACCTTCAAGTCCCAAATTAAATGCTGTCTATTTCATAGAACCTTAGCTTCACTGTGTTCTCTCTCCTCTACGTTTCTTTCATTTCAATACACACCCTTTCATCTATGCTTAGTCCCTACAGATACTCCCTACTCATCCCCGTGTTTGTAAGAGCCTTTCAAGGGAAGAGTGTGTCTCAGTCAAGCACAGCCCAGAGCCGCAGAGAGAACCGGGTCTCAGCAATGAGCAGGGTCCAGGATGGTAGAGGGAACGAGAGATCCACACAATGTCCTGGGCAGAGCATTAGCCACATCTGCTCCTTAGCCCCCTCCTTCCTCAGCCCCATCATAGCTGTCTGTCCTGCAGGAGAGGGAAAGGACCTAGAGACCCATCTCTGCGAGAGCAGCAGAGGCGTGCAATGACAGTAGTTTGCCAGCAGAGGGCAACAGCGAACCAGCAATAACAGGCCGACTGTCAGTGCAATTTTGCAGGATCCCCAGCCAGTGACTAAAACATCCCAGATGCGTTCTCAGTCCCACACCCCAAAATACTTCGTTATTTTTTAAGGCTTGTCAAACCCATTTTTAATACGAAAACTTTAAAAAATGTTTTTCTTCTAATACTATTTTCGATTTCTCTCTGTCTACACACACACACACACACACACACACACACCATTCAGTAGCAGCATCTTCCCCAATACTGAAGAGTGACTCCACCCCTTACAAGTCCTTCTCCTTGCAGCTCCGTCAAGTCTCTTGGCTGGTCCAGCACCACACAGCCCTGGGAAGAGAAGCCAGGGATCTGCATCCCAAGAGGAGAGCGCTGAATCATTCATTCCACACACATTCCCTGAGCACCACTGGGGTCCAGCCTCTGAAGAGAATCCAATTTGGATTTGCTCTTCAAATACAAACAGATGAAAAATGTATGACATTGAAGCAAGGCAATTTCTCTCCCCCTGAGTTGAGTGGAGACTTATAAAACGTTTAGATAATAGTCCACATGCATTCTGATTTTTAATCCTTCAGTTACTCAGGCCCATTAAAGCAAACACACACACACATACACATCCATTGTTATCCAGTCACTTTGATTCTTGTTGACCCAC